GTCATTAAGCAACATCGTTCAAGTATAAAACATCCTCATTGATCCTCAGAACCTTATTCACCAAAAGTTGGTAAATACAGCGGATCAAAACAGCTTAAAACTGAGGTACGTAAAGTATAAAACGCTTTACCATAAATGAAAGCCGGTTTTTTACTTACAATATTTCGTAGCCTTTTGATTATCTTTATACTTTGATCATGAACGGCGTTTAATCGACACCACTGCGCCTTATGTGAACATATTTATCTGTTACGGCCAAAAGTTAAAGTACCTTTTCTGATTCACTCTACCCCTTTCCCCAAGAAACGCTTAATACCCAAACTAGCGATTTGTAGATATGCTGGATTTATGAGTTGCATTTAAGTCTTTATTAAAGTCGCCGATGGGTTTTGTGTTAAAGTTGGTGGTGGAAATTGCGAGTTGACTTCGTAAGGTCGAATAACGTTGTGTACTGTAGTTAGTATTTTGTTTCTACTTGAATGCCAAGGCAAGTCACTGGTCACCAGTGAATTAGCATTGTGAGTAGTTTAGTTTGAGTCATAAAAAAGCAGAGTCGCAACACGAATTGGAGTTTGCAGGTTGTGAGGTCACGTTTAAAAGCCTTCACTATATTTTTTTCACAATTTAAGCGTATTTTTCCCTACCATAAGGTCACTGAATTAAAAAGATGTACAAAGATGTGTTTAATGAAGTCAAATAGAACAGATATTCTTTATGTACCATCGAACGGTTGCTAGTACCTGAATATAAGAATAGGATTATCCTTCGAGTAAGTAATACTTTATCGGACTTCTACAAACACCTTGCATTCGCGCAAACTGTTCTTCCCTATATTAAAAAGGAAGAATTTCGCTCTCATTTTCATAGGACTTTAAACGTTTGTTAGCGTCATAGCATTTTTTGAGACAAAAGGAATTTATTTTATCCTGCGGCTATTAAAAAAGAAATGATGTGCCCTTCATTCAATGACGTGAATGTTACTGAAAATAGAAAGTTACTTGAACAGGCCAAAATGTTTTTTACTTCGTTCTTTCATCTAGTGCAGAATCCTAAACACCGACTTATATGTCGTCATAAATCTTAGAAATGTTTTGCTCTTCAAAACATCCTTTATCATCGGTCAATTTCTTCTATTTTTCGCATCTGAAGAAGAAAAGAAGTCATAGAAAAAATTTCAGCGATGGATTTGAACGTTTTATTTTAGGGTTATAGTTTGATAAAATCGCTCCAAATGAATACAATTCCACTAAAATTGACAAAAAATTTGCAATCCACACTCACTCCACGCAAGCATGCGATCCGCTGAATATCAAACTACAGTCCTGCTAAAATTTTTTAATAATAACTCGTATAATTTATACGAATGTTTTGACAATCATCCAATCAAAATCACTTCCGGTTTTTGGATTGTGACATCACTGAACAGTGTGAGCGCCCAGCTTTCAGACGTCTCCCTCGGGAGTTTGCGACTGTATAAGTCTATATAACTCTCTATTAATAAATCTGAGGCTTCTTACTTTTTTTCATATGGATATACTTGGAAGTTTATAAGCCCTGAAGACAGACCCAAGGGTGTTGCTTCCAATAACCTCAGCGTTTATCGAGTGAATGATTATAATATCTCCTCAATAAAATGTTTCTGTGACAGGGGTAATTATTACACAGTTCAACTTATCCTGAAAGCGAAGATCCCAATCTTTCTTCTACTGGATAAACGAGTGAGTTTTTAGCTGTTTTCGTCGGAACTCGAACTTCTAGATTTCTATTTGCCCTTAGATGTCCTTATATTTGAGTCTGAAGGATTTAAACAGTCCAGTTTGTTATCTCATAGACTATATGCGGGAGCTCCAAAGAGGAAACTTGCTTAGGATTCCTTGCTTAATCTAAGTTTCGTAGGACTATTTTAAGTAATATCAGAAACTTGTCGTTACCACAGAAGGAATTAAAAATTACGAAAGAAAGAAAAGTAAATTCATCTCTGCACTTCTTCCTTAAAATGACCATGACACATCAATCATATATGGTTAATAAACTATATTTGTAAAAACAAAATGCATTTGTCTCTTTGCGACCAGATGGCGGAATTTGTCAATTAATGCCGTTAGGACAAGACCGGAAAAATGAAGCATTAATTACAAAACGATCGATGGCGTTTTCAAATGGCCAGCTAACGTCAGTAATAAAAATGAGATCATGCCTGCTGTTTTTGGTCAAACAGTTTTATTTGTCAGCCCCTTAAGCTGGCACCTCAGGTGACAAAAAAGACAGTTTTTTTGCGTTTGAATTTGAATTTTTTGGGGGAGGGGGGTCCTCCTGAAAATATATTGAAACATATCCTGCGTTAAATCTTGTTTGAGTTTTAATTGATGGGCGTATTTGGATCTTCACAGGCAAACAACTCAGACAATTGAAGAAGCGAACAGCAGTCAGAACTCTTTTAGCCACCAAAAGTTAGGAGACATACAACTGATCAGAACAGGTGAAAACTTTGAGGTAAGAAAATAAAACTTTTAAATAACAAGAATCATATGGAGGTGAGAGGGGATTTTTCCTACATTATTTCTTAGTTATTTTAGTGATGTTCTTACTGTGATCATGACCAGCTTGAGTGCAATATTCCTGTTTATTTCGGCATCACTCTCAGTGTATGTAAAATATTCATGTGTTATATACATGTAATATATATTGTAAAGAGGGCAGGTCTGTTGTGCTCTCATCCACGACTCTCGCCCTCCTTCCTCCTTCCTTCCTTAGTTTCAGCGGTTAATAGGTCTATCCGGATCCAATCATTGTTTTATTATTTATTCAAATAATTTCTAGTTTAAGAACATAGCTAAAACATACTTACCGTTTCCTTAATCGATTGTTAATTTCCCGTCTTCAACTGCATATTTCTCGTCAAGTTCTGAAGATATTCAATCTAAAAATAGCAGATGTCGTCTGAAAAGAAACATTTAACATTGTTTTTTATTCCAGTATTTCTTCATTTTGTATTTTTTATTAATTCAATAAAAGTCTTTTACTTTATGTTTCACGTCAATGCATGAACAGCTTCTGTTTGTATTTTGACAGTCGTCGCATACACGAACTTGACTTCCTTTTACAGCGGTTAGCATGTTCATCGCTCACGCCACGCTGGTTCATAGAAGCACTTCGATGTATCAATGACCTTGTCCATTCAGAATTTCCTATTTCTGCTTTACCGTGTTGCACGGTTTTGATAATGATTTCAGCTAGAGTGATTGGATTGCGTTCACTGGAAAGTGATGTTTTTTACAATTCTTGACCGGCGGAAAAATGCAAAAATTTTCTCCATCAGCGACATTTGCTGTATAAATAAAAAAGAACGAAAAATATCGGGTGTTGCATGGACACCGACTGATCATGGCGACAAGACGCAAGCTTAGCAGACTTTCCCTTCGCCTAACGAGAGACTTGTTTTTTTTATGAACACATACTCGGATCCATAATGTAGATAATTTATAACTAGCATTTATGTTAACCTTGATGGCCATGAGTTTCTCTATTCTCTGGTCGGTTTCGACCGGTCCATTCTTTATTTATTTACTCTATTTGTTTATTTATCTATATTAGAATTATTTTTTCCCCAAAACGACGATATATTTTATGTAATAAGAAATTCTCTTTTTTTTTTATTGATTGAAATATTTCTGAAACTTTAACTAGAATCAAACTTAAACAACTGAGCAAAATGATGCTCGGATCTTTCTCTGAAAAAAAAAAATGCATTGTTCTGAAGGGAAAGAAGTTATTTTTTTTCAGTAAAACAACCGTGTCATAGAACAAGTTTAAATTTCATTTTGTCCATTTTTTCTCGGAAAATATATTCAAAATTTTATGTGGTATTCACGACTTACAAAAATGCAAAAATAATAAAAAGAAAAAACTTCTTGAAAGATATAGTGTAAAGAAGTATTTTTAAGACTGCTGCTTAATTGGCTTCCATTTTTCTATTTTTTTTTTCTAACTCCCGGTCTCCACGGTTTCCCAGAAAGCTTGAACAGGCTTTTTAAAATTGACTTTGTTTGATCAAATAAACACCAAGGTGATCTGCGAACGGACTATTTAATTCCCTGGGGTTCTTCTTTATAATAATCTGTCTCCGTCTCCGGGAGAACTTCCCTATTGAAGTTTCTGATAGGATCATACGATTATGTAGATTAGCTGCATAGGTAATTAATGTTATTGTTTGCAAATAGGAGAGAGATTTTAAAAGGCCCCAGTTTTTACCCTGACCAGGGTAATGCATATATGGGAAATAGGGTAAGGGATTTAAGAATTATGCATCGTGGCATGACCGGCATTTTTCAGTACGCTTTGAAAGATTGGACTAGCATAATTTTTGGCACAATTAGTCACTACGAGCATAATTTTCATCTATTTTTCGAAAAAAAAGCACTGCTAGCATAATTTGCACTTTTTGGTATAATTTTGCAGTACAAAAATTGTCATTTATTGAACATGCAACCAATGTTTTTGGTCCGAGATCTGTGTTACAGGCAAATCTAAGTAACGAAATCATTTATTTGTCTGTGGTTACCTGGGGTGGCGTCCGCGTGTTGGTTGTTTATTGTTTGAGTTTTTATAGTTGTCAGACAATGAATTAAGGACTCTTAAAGTTTCTTGATGTAAACAGGGTAAATGAGTTTGCCATTTACTTGTAAATGAAGCATTGAGGTGTTTTTTTTTCAACCAAAAATTAAAGCATAATTTCGGCATTTTGTTTGCTAAAACGAGCTTAATTTACAAAAACTAGCAAATTTTTTGGCATAATTTTAGAAATATACGAGCACTGCAAGTAGCATATCATGCTACTTTTGCGAAAAGAAGCTATCAAAGGCTATTTCCCAGGGGTACCCCTTCCTCCCCTCCCCCCTCCCTCCCGCTTACTCGTGGTTATTAATAACTCTTTAACACCCGCGAAATAAATTCAGTGATATGTTATGAACCATAATTATTTTGTTTCAACAGATTGGAAGATGGCAGGCATGAAACTATTCATTATTTTCGTTATCATGTTCCCAGTCGCGATGATAACAGAGGAAGATGTAAATCATGGAGGTAATAACTACGACAAAAATTTAATTGCGCACCTGCAGATTGTCACCATGTCTTGCTTCATGTACAGAAAGCGCTTAACATTTTCATTTTTACACTTTCCCTAAAGCATCATTCCGACGATTTATTCACCACAATTTTTACATCGTCCATAAAATTTGCATGAGAATTGTTTTCAATTTTTCCTGTAAGTATAAGCAGTCATCATAAGAGAAATTGAAGACAACTTACTTATGCACGATTATTCGGGGTAAACAAGGTGTTTTACTGGCGAAGTAAAAATTGTGAATACGTTAAAAACTTCATTGTTTTATTATTATTTTATTAATTTAACACTTCAAAAATGTGCGATCAACATTTCGCAAAAGTTCTTACGTACAGCAGGAGTCCTTTCATGAATTGCCTTGCTCTATTTTTTTCTTACTTCATGGATTTGAAATAAATTTGTATTTGAGAAAATCTTGCCATACAAACACCTCTGTAAATCGGACAATCCCTTGTGTTGGCCCCTGAGAAGTGCTTTTAGGTAATGAAAAATTCCGCAAAACGGAAATGTAGGAGCACTACATGACAAGTAATTGCAATTAGGATAAGCAAATTACATTCCATTCCAAATACAGTACGCGTCTTCCGAGTTACAGCTTGTATCTTCTAAACGCCTCATGGAGAACCTCTTGGCCTGTGAAACAGCTATCTTCTCCGTCTTTTAGCTGAACTCTTTGAGCCTAATGGGAACTTCAAATGGTGATATCAAAAACAAACCATTATAACAAATTAATTGTCATAAGCTTAAGTACTTACAGTGATGTACTGTAGAACCCCGGCAACTCGAACTCTGAGCGAAAACGAAAAACAGTTCTTGTTAGCGAGTTATCGGGGTCGATTGAAAAATTTAATTTACCATGTTGCAGTTATTTTTTGGTCAAGGGAGAGGAATTTTAGTTCGAGTTGGCCAGGAATTCTAGTTTTCCAAGTTCGAGTTGACTGAGTGAAAATGACTAGAAAGTGGGGTGAAAGCCAAGGGAAATTGGACTTAGTTTGAGTTAGTGATTGAAGAGTTCGAGTTGTCCGATCGAGTTCAAGTTATCGGGGTTCTACTGTATCATTATTTGTTTTGCTTGAGTACAAATTGTTGTTAAAAGAAGCAAATACTGAATTTTTATCACTTTGTAGCCTTGTTCCGATTCCTCCTTTCCAGTACATTGATTCGGTTTTTTTTATTGTTTTGCACAAGTAAAATATATGTGGACTGTATTTACTGCCGAATAACTTTAGCTTTATTTTCTTGTAATTACTGGCGCCATCTTACTTTGACTCTCTAAAGGCCGGGACGCCTCTCTTTAATAGACGGAGAGTTATTATTATTAATTTATTTTAATTTTTATATTTATTATTGTTTTGCACGATTTATAAAATATCGTTAGCTTACAAATTAAAATTTGCTGTTCATATGTGTTGCTGGCTTGCAGTTTGTCCTGTTCCAAAGACAAAAGAGGAAGAGGAGTTTATTAAAGAGCGGGAAAGGAACAGAGAGTTAATGGAAGAAATCGCCAGAGAAATTGAAATGACCTGCTTAGGTAAGTTAAAAAATGAAAAAAGAAACAATAATAATAATAATGACTTACCCTTTTAGTTTAAGCCATTTAATTTAGTCGGTAAGCAGCGAATCCAGGAAGTTATTCAACCGCGGCAGTGTTAGCTCAGTCGGTAGAACGCGTTGACTGCAGAGCGGGAGGTCGCGGGTTCGATTCCTGGGGCCGGACCAATACTCAGGGTCTTAAAATAACCGAGAAATGAAGGTACTTCCTTTGCACTGCAACAGGCTAGACCTTCGCGTGTCTCGGATGACCACGTAAAATGGCGGTCCCGTCTCCAGTTGGAGACGTAAAATATAGTGTCCCCAATTAGTACTTTCGTGCTGAATACATTGACACTCAAATAAAAAAAAGTGCAAATACATACACTGTCTACAGGTAGTCATTTCGATTCCTGAAGGAGGATCATAAGTTGGCAAGTTCGATATCTCTCTTTACAGATAACCCACCCAACCCAGGAGAGGTTGGGCACACCACGGGGTCAACGTCCCTTACTCTTACTCGTACCAGGTAAGTGAAAGTGCTGTGTGAGAGGGGACCCACGGGTTTTCGTCCTTATATCCTAGAAGTCTCAAGAAAGTCTAACCGTTTGCAGATGTCATTACAAAGGCAGCGCTTGCTTCTCAGTAATTTTAAGAGGCCGAGTGTTTTTGCGGTCGGGATTTTAACCCGCGACCTCCAGCTCAGCAAACCAGCGCTCTCCCGGCTGAGCTAACCAGACGGCGGAGGTTAATAAGAACTTGGCACACTGCTACCTTATTATGGAAATCCTGACTGATCCTGTCAGAGTTATAAACAAACATTGTGGGCAAAAATCCATCGTCTAATTTTGCTATTTGTCTACTACTCTTTTCAATTTGATTTACCCCTATTCCGGAAAGCTAACTACAAGGCACAATTCCATGGATTATAAGGCTATAAGTTGGACTAGATAATAAAGGAATGAAAGAGAGCAAGCAAGAAACCTCCAGAAAACATTTATGCCAGTTTTAGTCTTTTCTCAAAACGCACAAAATTTTCGGACTTGGAACCAGTAATGGTAAACATTTTTGACAAATGATTTCTAGTCCATGAGCCGTTTTGTGAGAAGTGGGCAAAAATTCAATGAAGTAGTAATCTCTGATTAGACATAGTTTCCTTGTGACAAATGTATATCAGATAAATCATATTGGAGAACTGCAGAAATGAAATCAAATGAAGAATGATCCTCGCAGTTGTGAACGCAATTTTTTACGCAATTACGTAAGAAGCCTGAAAAAAAATTCAGGACTTTTAAAACGGCATTTGAACCCGTGACCTCGCGATACCGGTGCGACGCTCTAACCAGCTAAGCTATAAAGCCACTGATGTTGTAGGTGGTCAAGCCATTTTTGAGTGAAAACGCATGTTTTTTCAACTTTTTTTGCGATTTTAACCTGATTTCTAATTCTTTCTAAAATCCACCCAAGACGGGCGGCCTAGATGGCGTTCATTGTTGGTGACGTCACAGGGCTCTAGCAGCGCCACCACCTATAAATTATACTTCATCTTGAGAGAAGATCAGAGGCTTTCCACTAAAGGCAAAATCGTTTCGAAATACTGCAACATATCAGAAACTCCGAGGAGGGATTCCATCAACCCCCTCCCCTTGTACCACGGTGAGGGTATGAATTTGCCTGTACGTCCGATTGTTAATAAATCCGAATCAGAATTTCATGGATTTCCCGTATTACCGTTCTATTAGGAAATGCGAAAAAAGATTTGTAAAACTGTTCGCGTGCAAGACAACTATTCTTGAGAACAGCTTTTCAATAAAAGCAGTACTTAGCTGTGAAACTAAAACTTGCCGACTAGTAACAGCGGAGCTCAGACTAAACGTTAGCGTAAACGGAAAAGAGCCAATACCGCTATTAGCACGACAAATTAGTGAATTTACGCAACAAGACGGCAGAAAGAAGAAGACGGCAAACAAGCGTGACAATAATTTTGTTTGAAACAACTTTTCGCCAAACTTTACTCTCCTTTAAACGGAATTTTTTTGTAAAGACTAGTAAACGTTAATGTTAGGTGAATATATCACGACAAAACACGTACGTAATAGTCCTGGCCTGTCACTTTTGTCATGCACAAGCGTTTTGACGTCCTCTTCTTCCTGCCATCCTGTTACGTAAACTCACAATTATCCCGCGCTGACGTCAGTCCAAAAGCACGCGAAATACTAAGACCAGAAGTTCAATTTCACTTGCATAGCAACCACGTAGCCTGGCAACACGATACGACAAGGGGCCCTAAGGCATGCAACGTTTCTTGATTGGAGTATTGAGACTAACGATTTGTCAGTAGGATTCTTGTTGAAAGCACGTCAACAGATATATATATTTTTCATAGTTTATAATAATTTGAACCAGGAGATCATGATTTTAACGGCATTTGAACCCGTGACCTCGCGATACCGGTGCGACGCTCTAACCAGCTAAGCTATAAAGCCACTGATGTTGTAGGTGGTCAAGCCATTTTTGAGTGAAAACGCATGTTTTTTCAACTTTTTTTGCGATTTTAACCTGATTTCTAATTCTTTCTAAAATCCACCCAAGACGGGCGGCCTAGATGGCGTTCATTGTTGGTGACGTCACAGGGCTCCAGCAGCGCCACCACCTATAAATTATACTTCATCTTGAGAGAAGATCAGAGGCTTTCCACTAAAGGCAAAATCGTTTCGAAATACTGCAATATATCACAAACTCCGAGGAGGGATTCCATCAACCCCCTCCCCTTGTACCACGGTGGGGGTATGAATTTGCCTGTACGTCCGATTGTTAATAAATCCGAATCAGAATTTCATGGATTTCCCGTATTACCGTTCTATTAGGAAATGCGAAAAAAGATTTGTAAAACTGTTCGCGTGCAAGACAACTGTTCTTGAGAACAGCTTTTCAATAAAAGCAGAACTTAGCGTTAGCGTAAACGGAAAAGAGCCAATATTAGCTAGTAAACGTTAATGTTAGGTGAATATATCACGACAAAACACGTACGTAATAGTCCTGTCACTTTTGTCACGCACAAGCGTTTTGACGTCCTCTTCTTCCTGCCATGCTGTTGCGTAAACTCACAATTATCCCGCGCTGACGTCAGTCCAAAAGCACGCGAAATACTAAGCCCAGAAGTTCAATTTCACTTGCATAGCAACCACGTAGCCTGGCAACACGATACGACAAGGGGCCCTAAGGCATGCAACGTTTCTTGATTGGAGTATTGAGACCAACGTTTTCTCAGTAGGATTCTTGTTGAAAGCACGTCAACAGATATATATATTTTTCATAGTTTATAATAATTTGAACCAGGAGATCATGATCTCAGTTGTTTGAGCTCAAACATTGTTGCAAATATAAATAATCAAAACAACTGTTAAGCTAGCTTAAAGTGTGAAAACTAACTTTATCGGTAAAAGAAGAAAGAAAATCTTATAAGTAACTTCTACTTGCTGATTTGTAGACGAGTGTGAAACAGGACTACATAACTGCCACGATGATGCATACTGCACCAACACCAAGCGTTCCTTCACGTGTACTTGCAAACGAGGATATTCTGGGGATGGTGTCAACTGTGCAGGTAACAAAGCTACATACGCAGCGTGAACTTACAGGATCTAAACTTTAGTTGTATGCCATCGCAGCAGAAATAAGAAATAAGCCAATAAGAAAGCTGCAAACGGGTTTCGTATTTATCTAAGTGACATATTGCTGTAAGTAGCATGAAACAAAATAAACAAAATAAGTACTCCTTGCCACTGAATTTGTTTTGGAAAAATTAATTCAAGCGTAGACCATTTCAGGGTTACCGTTCGAATGCATTGCACTACTATCTCTCATTCGATAGGAATAAAAATCGAACTTGGTCAGTCTGATAATTTATCCTTATTTATTTCCAGACGTTGACGAGTGTAATACAAAAAAACACCAATGTGATGAAGCTATTTCATTGTGCGTTAACACTAAAGGATCCTTCGAGTGTTACTGTCAAAAAGGGTATTTTAAAAGTGGACAACATAAATGTACAGGTAACATCCACTTTAAGATTTCTTAATTGAAACATTCAGATGCTTCGTAGCCACGTCTTTTGTTTATGTTAAGTTAGCGTCCTTACAATTATCTATTTTAAGTTTTTTTGGCGCTTTAAGTTAAAACGGGTTTTCTTTGAGCGACGCACGCCAACTGGAAGTAAATCCTTATCCCTTTTAATATACATAAAAACTACCAAATCTGTATTGCCTACCTCTTTTCAGTGTCTTAATTAACTATTATAGTGGCGGTTTGTCCGAAAAAAAAGGGGAAACTACCTAACAAGAATGAAAATAGACAACAACTGGTTGACGTGAGTTGCCCAGGGTGCGTTGGCCAACGCCTTTGCTTATAAACTCCCTATATCATAATTAGCCTGCTCCCACGCAGACGTTATTAGGTGAGTCATATATATAGTTCCTCTCCACAAGAGGAAGGGAGGAATGCGACTCTCCTAGAAAGGCCTGTGTGGGAGGCTAATTTTTTAAATTAAGTACCAGATGTTACCTGGAACTAGCAATGACTCTAGCCTGCTTAGCAGGGGCTTGAACCTAATCCAGAAAATAGCTAGTATGGGCGAAAGGAAGGTCGGAGCGCGCGAGGGAGACACGCAGGAAGGGAAGTAGCGCCTGCCTGAGAGGTCAATGAAAATCGTACCAAAAAAAAAAAAACAAAACAACACAAAACAACCTTTTTTGCATTATGATTTCCTCTGATTTCCTCTTTTGAAAGTCGTTTTCACCAAAGTCCAATTAATTTTAAGTCGCGTCAGTTTCCAACAACGTAATTTCATAAAGCGTTAATTTCCTGTAATAAGGCAGATAACTGTTATTATGGTAGGCCAAAGTTACTTGCAATAAAAGAAAAGAACACTAAATCAGTTTTTTTTATTCAGTGCCTGACTTTTGAATTGCAGATGAAAATGAGTGTGAAACAGGAAAGCACAACTGTCATGCAAACGCTAATTGCAACAACACTAAAGGATCCTTTGAGTGCACCTGCAAGCCAGGGTATTCTGGGAATGGAGTTAACTGTACAGGTGAAAACAATACTTCGGTCTTCTTTATAATGAATCTTTTTCTAATCAGCTCCATTTATCTCGCCTAAAAGCCAAGTTCAGCCACAAGGTAGTATGCAGCTTAGTCTCTAGAGCTGCAGTTTGTTCTTTTAAGCTGGATAATAAGTATCGAAATGCCCTTGCATGATGCTATAGTTTGTGATTTGCAGTATCTGTATGCGATTTTAGCCTTATATATCCTTGAGATATTTAAGTTTTTTATGTATTATTATATTGTGCCCATGGAAGATTGTCATGTCCGAACACACATTCAGGCTGGGTGAGCTTAAGCTTACTACATTTAATTACATCAGACCAATGTACACAATTCCGTCTTTAGAGTATGAGCGGAAACGTGTCCTTTTTATCCCTCCTTCTGCTGGCAATTTTTCTTTAGAGATGAAGTCATTCTGTATTCTCTAATATCTTGCTTCCTTAGGTCTCGCGAATCCTCTATCTATACACTTGATGTCATTTCTGAATTTCTCACCTGCTCAATATATATAGCAAAAATTTGTTTCCTTTTCAGTATAGCCAGAAATCTCTCTCTCCCTCTCTCTTCTGATCGTACCCAAACCAAGAAAATAAAAGGTTAAGTAAATCAGTTTTGATGATTTAGTCCTGCATCTGATTTGCAGAGGTAAACGAGTGTATAACAGGAGAGCACAACTGTGATGCCAATGCAGACTGCAATGACACTGAAGGATCTTTCGAGTGCACTTGCAAGCCAGGGTATTCTGGGAGCGGAGTTAACTGCACAGGTGATTTTATTTCAGTAAAGATCTGGATCGTCTTAATATTAAGGCTATTAATTCAGTATTATTTTGTCTCGAGTTCACGCGTTTGAGTCCCTGAGTAGAATCCAAAAGTGACATTTCCAATTTTAATGTACAAATAAGAGTTTGAAGTCAAGCTTCGATGGAAAAAGTGATCGTTGTCATAATTATTTAGCAATTACTGAATGAGGCTGAGCAGACTGCATGTGAAGAATTATGTAGAGCGAAGAGGATGTTATCCTCAATCTTGCGGTGACTCAATCCAGCTTGATCGAAGTTTAGTAAATCTGATCAATCCACTAAAAACGTTAGTTCTCTCCAGTAAAGATAGATCATAGATAAGAAAATAATCAAATCGCAGCCTGCTGAAGGCTAAATTGTTTAATTATTTACAATACAATAAAAAGTATAAAATAATGGTAAAAGACTAATTTCAATTTTGTTAATTAGGAAAAATGATAATGAAGAACTGAAAAAGAAAGGAAAAATAACGTAATAACACTTAATCTTACATTATAATAACATGTTTGGACGACCGCATATGGCTGGTTTGAACGAATTTTTGCAGCGGTTTGTGCGAAAGTGGGGCAAGTCGTAAACTCTCTCCTGCCTGGTATTGTAGTAGCCTTGGTGGTTTGGAGAAAGCAGGCAAGCGAATTTGAGCTGATCTGAGGATATACTATTAAACAGCTTAATAAACTGATCGTTACGCCTATCATATAAAGTGCTGAGACCAAAACTGACTAAACATGCAGTGTTTGTATGATTTATCAGGCGCTATTATGGAGAGCGCTCTTTTTTGTACACGCTCAGTTAGACAGTCGGGTAGGCTATGGTGGAAAATGGATGAGCAATATTCTAGAACGGGTCTCATTACTGTACAGTGGAAGTCAACAATATCTTTACAGCTCAAGCAGAACCAAAAAAATAAACGCTTAATTGCTTTCTTAATAGTTTCATAATTCACCAAATCAGTGGATAGCAATTTTCGCGCGTTCTGATTGGCTCCCGTAACTAAGAATATCCTTGGATATTCACTGTTTCATTTGTTCATGACGGGATTCTGCTTCTCGTTTCGCGACAGTTTCGAAAGATGAAATTTTAGCGGTAAATGAAGCAGCTGCACCAACAAATACCAAGAACGAGAAAAAAATTGGCTTTTCGATGTTTACTGGTCGCTAGAAAAGAATTTTCATACTGAATTTGGAACAAGATCATAACAAATGATCCCCGAAACATTGTAAATTGAAACGTCAACAAACTCGAACTAACTGATTTTTATCCAACTGATTTGGTAAATACTAAAACAACTATCCCACTCAGGGTCGGTTCATAGCGCTAGATATATACCTCGACACTTCGCGTCTAGGTATATCCCACCTGACTATTCTGATCACCTCCCCTTCAGGGGATAGTTGTATATTATATAAACTTTCCACTTGAGATCGTTAATAATAATAATAATAATAATAATAATAATAATAATAATGATAATGATAATGATAATGATAATGATAATAATAGGGACAGTACTTTCCTTAGTATCTTTGCTGTCCCCAACAATGCTGTTTGCTGGATAACGTTCACGCCGATTCGCTTCAACTTTAAGGAGTACATGAAGAGAATCGGCGTGAACGTGAGATTGGAAGTTATCCAGAAAACAGCATTGTTGGGGAAAGCAGAGATACTAAGGAAAGCACTGTCCCTGTACGAAGAAGGAAAAGAGAGACCTGGGAGCCGTGGTGAATTGTTGTAACCTGCTTCCAAGGACTATAAACCAGGCCGAACATCCTGCCTGAGTCTACGAGGAATGGAAATAATAATAATAATAATAATAATAATAATAATAATAATAATAATAATAATAATAATAATAAAACTTATACAGCGCAGATATCAATATTGCTATTTTCATCAGCGCTTAAAAATAATAATATTAAAAAAAAAATTACTAGGACTGCATAAAGTATACAAAGTGAATGAACCTACCAAAAAGAGTTAAAACAATTATGTCAACACTAAAACTATAGAAATTACTTAGTCTACTTAAATGGTAAGAAACTGCATAAAACCTACTAAAAAAGAGATTAAAAAGCACATAAAATTACAAAAAAGCTTTCTGAAATAAAAATGTCTGGAGTTTCTTTTGAAAAGATGCTACTGAGGGGCTACTCCTAATCGCATAGGGCCATGAATTCCATAGTTGAGGACAGGAGCCCATCAAATGGAGCCTCCATCTCCCTTAAATGCCCTTGGAGTCAACCCTTTCCCGAGTAGATTTATAATTAGAACGGTTCCCAGAGGAGACTTCGCGCGCAGACGGTGGTAAGAGCCAATCACAACGACGAAATGACAGTGCTATTGTACATCATCAAACAACAGGAAATTCGGTGTTGACAGGCCAAACACAATCATAAGCTAGTGAAACGTGACTTTAGCATTTTCATCCCTCAGAGATTTTCTTTCTTTTCTTTCTAGCGGGTAGATTATACTGTGGAGAGGTTTAAACGCTGACTACGTTAATCTTAATTTTGGCTGCCTATCTCACATTAAGAGACCATGAAGCTGATCTGTTCCGTGCATAATGATTAACTACTTCCTGCAGTCTGTAGTTCTGACAGGATTCGTTTTCTTTAGCCAATTTTTTTAAGCGTTAAGGTTCTTATTTCGGCTAAATGACTCAATATTAATCAAATTTCTAGTTTTTCAAGGTTTTTTTTCCGAAATGCGTTTATCTGAATAAATACTTGTAGTCCTTGTGGTTGTTTTGTCCGTCAGCTAGTGTGATGATTACCTGCTCTGTTTTATAACGCCGGGCCCGGCTATTTTTACATTGTTTTCTCGCAAAAAGTGCTCTACAGATGAGAATTCGAGGAAAGAATGGAGTTTAAACTTCTACATTAACCGCTGAGAATTGTCCTGTTAGTCAGTCATAATTCTTTTGTCGCAGATACAATCCGTTTTGTTTTTTCTTGAAATAAGTGAACCTTTGGACTGGAGCGCGATGTCACAAATTCCTCCGTTAACAAATTACTTTTGAGTTATCTTCGCAGTCGAGCAACTGTTCTCTTCTGTTCAACTTTTCAAGTGCCAGTTTCATCAGGCAACACTCATGGTAATAGAGTCAGTTGTAAAGGAAGACTGCAATTTCTCAAATTTCGGAACTAAAGCATTCCTCGTTAGTTGCTTCTTAGGTCATCGCTCTTTGCACGCGGTGCTTCTGGCGAAATCCACTCCACGGTGATGACAAAAATCAAATGATCCTGGCACTTTTTCGGCGATGATCATCGAAAAGTTCCAAATCGTCCACAGAACGCTTTATTGTCGACTCTTTTCGAAGTGCATGCTTACATGTATGATGTATGACGGCCAAAAAAAAACTCGCAAAGATAACCTTTCCGTGATCCTCAAATTTGCTGCCTTTGTCCCATCGCTTCATGCTCAGTCTCCGTCGGGTAATTCATTAACTTTTATTTCATGATACCCAGATCCCAGCGGCTGTAAAATCGTAAAAATGGACGTATAATAAAAAAGGAAAACGGTCGAAGGAAGGGCTTCCGAGTTAGACTTTAACCAACTTTATTTTTACGCGGTGACATACGACCTCACGGAAATATGACACTTTTTGCGGGAAACAAGCCGTTCTATTTATAAATCTACTCGGGAAAGGGTTGACTCAAGAAATTAACGGAGATGGAGGCTCCATTTGATGGGCTCCTGTTGAGGAGCAGCAGCAGCAAAAGATCGATCTCCTAACGTTGTTAAAGTCTTGATTTCACAGGGTTTAGTAGCAGTCCATCACAATCGGAGAGTAAATTGTATTTACATGCTTCTTTAAGATTAATACGTTCCTGGAGATAAAAAAGTGCTAAGGCAGTGATAGCCTTTTACGTTAACAGTAGTATCTTGAGGTCAAATTTGAATTTAACCGCAACCAGTGCGGATTATACAGCATCGGTCTTACGTGGCAGTATTTAGATTCCTGGAAATTTCTGGAAAATTAACCTAGCGGCAGCATTTTGGCCCCTCTGTAGCTTATTAAGCTGGTAGGCTGGCAGGCCACAATTCAATTCAATTTTATTATTCACACTTTATAAGATATTTACATTATATATAGTAAGGTAGGAATACACTAATAAAGGAGAAGAAGAAGAAAAAAAAGAAAATTAATGGCTTGGGTAGAAGTGTACGGTGGTCAGAGGAGCTTAGCTTTCGAGCTAACCACCGCTATATTATGATTGGAAATACATAATAAACGTGCGCTTGGTGCCATGGCAACTATGGACGATTACGCCAGCAGTCAGGTTATGTGAGACAGTCAAATTACAATTGTTACCTTTGAGAGTTAACTAGAATTCGCTTATATTCTTTTTTGAACTTATGGTAGCTAAGTGTTTTTATTTTAGTAGGAATCTCTTCCCAAGTTTTGGTTATGGCAAACTTAAATGTGTGTTTGCCGTAATTTGACCTTACACGTGGTACATGAAAGTTAAGATTTGAGGCATATCTGGTATTGTGTGAGTGAATATCAGACACCTTTACGAGGTAGTTTTGAAACATTTCAGGGATATTGGCTTCATTTTGTGAGATTTTGTGAGCTAGCAAGGAGATTTTGAGTTTAAAAATGCTATCTATGTTAAGTAATCTAGAAGTTTGAGGTAGGGTGCACTACTTTCTCTCTTATGGCTAAAAAATATGCAGCGTATACATTTATTTTGTTTTGTTTGAACTTTAGTTAATCTACTTGGGTATGTGTTTCCCCATCTCATAATTCCATAATGAAGGTAGGGCTAGATAAGTGAGTAATATATTTGTTTGAGGGTATTTAAAGTTAAGAAATGGAGTAATCTGAAAAGGATTCCCAAATTTTTAGATATTTTGCTGTTAATGTGCTGAATGTGAGGAGGCCAATTTAGATTTTTGTCAATGCAGATACCTAGGTATTTGATGTAGTTCTTTTCTTCAATATTGCGTAAGTTAAGCTTAAGTTTATTTGCTTCTTGGGGGGAGGAGACTGTCATATAGTGGGTTTTCTTAAAGTTTATAGAAAGCAGTAGCTAAGAAGATGGTTGAATTCCTCATTTATAGTTTTTTCAAGGTCCTGTAGAGAATTGGAAGAGTAGAAGAGAGTGGTGTCATCAGCAAATGTTCTAATATTTGTCTTTTCTAAAGAATTGGGCATGTCATTGATATATATCAAAAAGAGCAGGCTGTTACAATAGTCCACACGACAGTGTTATACCTAAAAGTTTGGCACTATTATAACCGCTAGTTCCTTCTCGTCGACCACAACAGGGCTGAAGACATGTTTGTTATTTTTAAAGTCTATGATCATCTCCTTGCATTTGTCAGCGTTTAGTTGCATGCATTGCTCACGTGACCATTCCTCGACGGCACTAACTGCGCTCTGAATGTCACCCTGTGCACCTCGCTGGACTAACTCATCAATAGTAGAGAGATTAAGCATCGCGTTTACCGCAAACGGCAAACTTGAGTTTCAAGTTGAGAAATTTTTAAAATGAGCAGATAAAAGCAGCTTAAAACAATTCTTATGGATAAAATTGACCTGAATCTACCGATTTTCGTGTATTTATAATGAACAGAAAACGACTAGTGAAGGGGAAACTTGCTTACGTTTGCCGTTTGCCGTAAACGCGATGCTTAATCTCTCTGGTAAGTATCATCAACGTACAAAATGTGCTTCTATGTGTCCACACTGAAAACCGCTGAGGAATGACGATGGGCCTTGTTTGGTTCCCTGAGGCACACCAGCGGGCACAGGGCCCCATTCATAAAAACAGTCTCTATAGTCAACTTTACGCGTTGTTGTCTATGCGTTAAGAAGTCGGCCACCCAGAGGGTAACAGCGTGAGGAAAAGATAGGCCGAAAACTTTGCGCACAAGTAGGGCGTGGTCACTGAGATCGAAGGCCTTCCTGTAATCAAACGGGACGACTCTCACAGCAGCCCCAGACCCATCGGTGTCTTGCAACCAGGTACATGTACCATGTAGGTAAGGGCGTGTGGGGTACAGGACGCTGTGATGCGACCATACTGATTTGGATCAATCACCTCCAGAGCCGCAGGGCCGAAATGAAGAGCGACGACAAAGTCCTGTGCAAGTTTAGATATAACGGAGGTTAGGGAGATCGGACGAAGATATTTGTTGATGTCGATAACAGGTTTTAGCTTGGGGACAGGCACCATCTTCCAGGATGATGGCCGTCTCTGCTCCGCGAAACTGCTTTTTTGCACAGCTAACGGGGCAAGCAAGGATGCCTGCGTACGCCTTCACCACACTACCCCATCTAGTCCTGCCGCCTTCATAGCGTTAAGCCTTTTTAAAGCAGATAAAACGGCGGGTTCGGATAGGGTCAGCGGTGACAAATCCTCACTGTGTGACAGGAGGAATTCAAGCCTTTGGAAGGACTCCATAGGTTGTAGGAAACCTGAATTGATTTGGCTGGCAATCTATTGGTCAGACAGAAGAGCGGAACCTCGATCTATAAGTTGGCAAACAAAGGGTCTGAGCCAGGAGCGAGAACCATGTCAGCGATTCACTTGACCGCACTCCACCACTAGCTAGGCTTGGTTTGCTTTAGGTGGTTCACTTTTGAAGCGTAGTAGTTGCTACGGAGAACTATCCCTCTGTCTAAAGGAATAGGGCCAAAATGAAAAATCCGGCCGGATTTTTTGCGTTCGCTACCAGTTTACTTTGCAAAATCCTGCCAGCAAACCCCTATAACGTGTACTAACTACGCTTTTATACTTTTTACATACTATATCACTTCTAAAAGTAAACAGTAGTTTTACGCGCCGAATTTATTCAGACCATACTCGGTAATTATTGAGAGTTTCAAGAAACGGCAATTTGAGAGAAACAATCAACTTGTTAATTGACAAAGCTATTCTAAATAATTGCAAGAAAAGGCACATTGTGGCGTTGGCTTTGAGTGTTTACCGGGTAGTATATGACATGATACCGCATAGCTGGATTGTCAAGTGTTTGGAGATGTTTGAAATAGCTGAGAATGTGAAAAGGCTTTTTTATTAATGGTATGCAGACATGGAAGTAGAGTTATTATCATCAGGCGAGAGGTTGGAAGTCATTATAATTAGAAGGGGAGGCATTTTTCAGAGGGCTATTTGTTTTGTGCACGATTCCATTCACGTTGGTGTTGAGAAAATCAACAGCAGGTTATGATCTTGCGGAGAATTTAAGATTAACCATCTTCTTTTTTTGTGAACGACTTAAAATTGTTTCGGAAAAGTAAAGATCAAATAGATTCGTTGGTGCAAACTGTACAGTTGCTTAGTAAGGACATTAGATTGGAGTTTGGATTGAAAAAGTGTAGTGTGTTGAGTAGTGATAGAGGGATGAAATTAAGCCTCGAGTAAGTGTCGAGTAAGGTCCAGATAAATCATTGATATGCATAAGAGTCGAGTCCATGACGTCACCCATTGTTTTAACCTTGGGAAAAAGTGGGTTCCTCCATACTGGTAAGTGCCCTCCTCCATATCTAGTGAGCGTCTGTCTTATACAATAGGAACAATAGCCTTACCTAGAATTGTCCGGTAAGTAACTTGAGCCCGGTTTGCTCGAACCGCCGATTACAAAAATAAGAACAAGAGAAGAGATCACCTAGCAACACAAGAAACGGCTTATATTTTCTATTACAATTTAAGCGCTTAAATTCGGATATATAAACAAAACACACACACAGAAAGTGGAGCTGAGAACTCTTTATTTTAGCCAGATATCTGTTTTGCAACTGAAAGTATCGCTTATCTTTTTCATCGTCCCGAAGATTGTTTCCAGAAAGCACATCATCCAAGTTGCCCCGTATTTCTTGCATAGCTGGAAGAAGCAGGACGGGAGAAAGATTTTGCTGCTGTAGGTATTTTAAAAGCTCTTAAGGTATATTTTCTTCATACCCTGCTTGGTTAAAGCCTTATTCACTGGACAGGAGGTTTGTTCGCAGTGGGCAATTATCTTGGGTAGTAGTTTTTAGATTAATCAGCAGATAACCAAAAGGTCTTTTTATACAGCCTCCTTGTACTGATTTAAAAAGAAATCAGTTTTCCCGGAATACATTTGCTTTGCCAGAGTCAAGATTTGCAATTTGTCTCGTGGATTCTTGAATAGCACCAAATAAGTCATCTGATCGTCAAACACGATCAAATTCCGTTTGTTCACATCAAAATAGAAATCCTGCTCCAAAGCCGTAGGAATTCCCTTGATAAATTCAATGTGTGGCACGGCGACTAGCATCTCTGTATACGCAGGCTGCCATTGTGAACAACACCAAACGATCCTCTCTGGGGGAAGGTAAATTGCCTCTGAAGCTTGATGTAATAGAGATAGAACCCAGACCGCTTTTCCGGACTTGGTCATTCCAGAAGTTTTGGAGGTGAAAGGATGCTCAAAGCGAAGCCGCTGACATTTCTGTGAAGACATCGGAACTGTTTGAAATGGGGTGAGACCAGCATTGCGGTGTTTAGACATCGCATGCCTTTACATGCTACTCTTTCTACTAAACGATTTTTCGCAAAAGAGACAGAACCAACTCATGTCAACTTCTCAGGAGCAGAATGTAGACTGAGAAAAAGGTAGAATATAATGTTGCGCGTTTATATAGGTTTGGCAAGCCATGAAACCACATTTCTATTGCTTTCCTCGGCCTCCTCCACCACTACCACATTTCTGTTGTTAAGTTATTAACTGTTTTTTTTTTCGTTGTTGTTTTTATAATAATATGTCAAGGTTCTCTCTTGGGGTTTTTACTGTATAGCTGAGCCAATTTGTATGCAAATGTCGCCGTGTTAACTCGCTTAATTAACTGACTAACGGCGTGTGAAAATGACAAGGCCATAAGCTCACTAAGCGCTGAGAGTTAGTCGTCTCCTTGAGATAGAATACCTGAATTTTGTGCTTGAGTTTTGTTTATATCCTGTGTTTAGTCATGTTAATCTAAAGAAATGATTATTTAATAAAGATGTTTCAGTTACACTCTGTAACGATAGCGTGTTCAACAACTGAGCGCTTTCATTTTGAACACATAATAATTTCTGCATGAGCCAATCATCAGGGTTAAAAGAGACCGGCCAATTCTAAGCCAGCCTATTGTTCCTATTGTATAAGAGAGACGCTCATTAGATGTGGAGGAAGACACTTATCAGTATGAAGGAACCCAGTTTTTTCCTAGGTTAAAACAATGGGTGACATCAAGTACTCGACCCTTATGCATATCAATGATTTACCTCAACCTTACTAGACACTTACTCGACACCAAGGGATCACTACTGTGTTGGTAATGACAACGGAAGGAAAGTAAGGTTTGAGGGTATAACTCTTTTGTATGGGCGGGTAATGGGAGAAATCTGTGAAAGAAGGTATAAATATTTGGGGATAATTGAGGCGGATTTAATAAACGAAAAGTAGATGTAAAAAATTCAAGAGAGTAAAAAAGAAGGCTGAAACTAAAATGTTGAAATCAACATTGAATTGAAAGAATAAGGTTATAGCGATTAACACCTGCCCAGTGTCAGTGCTGACCAAGTATGGAGCAACTAAGATGGGCAAAGGAAGAACTGAAAACATTGGATAAAATGACTAGAAAGGTGTTGACAATGAATGGTGCTTTCCATTCAAAAAGAGATGTTGATAGGTTGTATGTATCAAGGGAGGATGGACGTCTGGCCGACTAATAATCTGTGAGGGGTGTGGAGAGGTGGGGAAAATAGTTTGGGATGGTACGTGAAGAATTCTTGGGACGTTTTACTGCAAGGGGTAAGGTATATTGAAAGTGAGGAAATTGTCAGTAAAGTTGATTGAAGACATCTTGGAACAATGAGCTGAAACTCGACAGTTGGAAGGAAAAAAAGCTGCATGGTCAATTTTATGAGGAATACCCGGAACAACACATGAAAGAAAACTTGGAGGTGGTTACGAAAAGCAGACTCGAAGATCAAAACAGAAACACTTATTTGTGCAGGCCAGGAACAGGCTCAGAGGACCAACCATGTAACTGATACCATGTTAACTGCAAGACCGTGCGAATCCCCCTTATGTAGGTAATGAGGCGAGAGTGTAAACCATATTGTCTGTAGGTGTAACTGAAAAGTTAGCCCAAAGGGAATATAAACAGAGACATGACAATATTGCAAAAGTAGTTCGTTGGAAGGTATGTGAGAAATATCATTTGGGAAAGAAGGACAAGTGGTACGAACACGTGCCTGACAGTGTGAGCAAAAACGATGAAGTTAAACTACTGTGGGATAATGAACATTCAATGTGATTATGTCATCGATGCTACAATAGACATGATCATGTGGTTGTAAACAAACAGAAGAGAGAGTGCGCCATTGTCGATATTGCTGTAGAAGGGGATAAGGGAATTGTTGAAAAGGTTAAAAAATATCAGGAGCTTAAAGGGACATTACAAGGATGTGGAACACACGAGAACTGTGCAGGTGATACAGACCGATACAGATTGTTGTAGGATCATTCGCAAGTGTGATGAAGAACTTGGAGAAGTGGCTGGAAAGTTGGACACAAGAATTTGTATTTCATTGCCCCCAAAAAACTACGCTTCTAGGAACAGAAAGGATTTTAAGAAAAGTGTTAGTCAGTTCTAGAGTAAGGAGTCGACATCTAAGGGTCCTTTTTCATGGGTCATGACTCGCTCCCTTAGCAAGTACAACGGTACGAGATCAGCCAGTGCACAAGGCAAGAAATGATAATAATAATGATGATGATGCTGATAATAATAATAATAATAATAATAATAATAATAATAGTAATTTAAATGATAATTTTAAAACTTGTATAGTTAATAAGAGAAATAGGACTGAGTGGAGTCAGGAGACCACATAGCTGGAGTCCGATTTGTTTAATCATGAGTAACAATTAATCATAACTAAACAAAATTTGTGATAATATCATATTTTATTAGCTTTAAAACACAAGATCTAGCGAGAGTTTTTTACGGATAGAAGAAAAAATAAAACAACTACCCCCCCCCCAAAAAAAAAGCAAAACAAAAAAAAACAACGGTAACAACCAAGGTAGCCCAAGCTCGAAATATGAGCATCGGCGAGCATCGGCATTGTTGCGTAACATTCAAAATATAAGGATTTGTATGGGAAAAAAACCTATCGTTTCCGTAACCTACGAAAATGAAAGGATTTCAATAAAAACAGCTTACCTTACTTAAAATGTGTGTTACGTCTCTCCCGTGTGGTCCACGGGCTGATTTATGGCCGTTTTATGGGTTTTTATGTAAACGGTTTTCTCTTTATATAAAGGTTTACCCCCGGGGGGGGGTACTCCCATACATTACCTATACGGGTATGTGCCGCCCAACGGGGTCGTGATTTTGAAGCTCCTGATTTAGAACGGGGTATCCATTTCACAGGCGTTTTCTGGAACGGGGTATAATATTTCGAACGCACGAAAGCACCAGTTTTGTAAGCAGCCAATTGAAATTATTCAAGGCCAGATTGCTTTTAAAAATACGGTTCAGTGCGTTAACAAGCAGACTGTTGTACTCTTGTTGCACCCTAGAACGGAGTATAAAAAAATTGGCCCATTCCTAGAACGGGGTATCAGTTTTAGGGCAAATTCTAGAACGGGGTATAAAAAATTGGCCCATTTCTAGAAAGGGGTATCAATTTTAGGAGAAATTTTTTTTTAGAACGGGGTGCCAATTCGGAGTCCCGGGCGGCACATACCCACCCAAAAAATACCCAAGTGCCCCCCCCGGGGGTTTACCAAGGTTGGGCACTCCAGCGAAGCGGCTCGACTGATCCATCGAAGGAAAACGGCCATAAATTCGCTCCAACTGCTCCAATCGCCTCCAAATTACGGCTAGGTAACACACGATAGTTCTTCTTTCCATTCGTTATCTTGCTTTAAGACTCCTTTGCACCGAGAGCGAATCAAAGTTCGCAAATCGCTGCAACCTTTCCCGTCTGAAGCCATCGACAGAGGCTCGGCCTGAACTCCGCGTTACCGTTGACAGATAGCGACACGGCCTGAGACTCGAATTACTCACACTCGGGGTGGGAGACAGTCTCTTGCTCCCGTTGACACAATAGGAAAACAACGAGAGCAAGAGACTGTCTCCCACCCAGAGTGTGAGTAATTTGAGTCTCAGGCCGTGTCGCTATCTGTCAACGGTAAATGCGGAGTTGCTTCAGACGGGAAAGGTTGCAGAGATTTGCCACCTTTGATTCGCTCACGGTGCAAAGGAGTCTTGAAGCAAGATAACGAATGGAAAGAAGAACTATCGTGTGTTGCCTAGCCGGAATTTGGAGGCGATTGGAGCAGTTGGAGCGAATTTATGGCCGTTTTCCTTCGGTGGATCAGTCGAGCCGCTTCGCTGGAGTGCCCAACCTTGGTAAACCTTGATATAAAGAGAAAACCGTTTACATAAAAACCCATAAAACGGCCATAAATCGGCCCGTGGACCACACAAGAGAGACGTAGCACACATTTTAAGTAAGGTAAGCTGTTTTTTATTGAAATCCTTTCATTTTCGTAGGTTACAAAAACGATAGGTTTTTTCCCATACAAATCCTTATATTTTGAATGTTACGCAACAATGCCGATGCTCGCCGATGCTCATATTTCGAGCCTGGGCTACCTGTGTAACAGCAAAATCGAAGAGCGCGCGCGGCATGGCGTGATTATTGTACCATTACTCAGGTTTATATGACGGGCAATGTCCCATTACACTGTTATAATCATATTTAGAACAGCAGTTAATAGTGGTAATAGGACTCGCACTGAAATCAATTCCGTCTGTAATCATCGGAGTGATTAGAGAAAACTGTTTCTTATGAAGCAGTTTTCATATCAAAAATACTCATTCACTGTGCAGCTTCAGTTATGTCTGCTTGTCATTCAATTATGTCTCATCATGCCTGTTTGACGTTCAATTAGGTTCGATATTATCTTTTAATTACTACTTTTTGTCTTTAAATTATCCCTGGTCATTTAGTCATTGAATTATAACTGTTTGTCATGCAATTTCTTACCTTATGAACTTCATTGAATTATGGCTTTTTGCGATTCAATTAGTCAATATCGTTTCAATATCGATTGACCGGTTGTACCTGAGCCCGCAAAAGCACCGCTGATTACTGACTCTCAGGGGATATCCACCGCTTCATTCAACAATGTTAATGCTCGTTGATAATTTTCTCCTTTTCCCTCGGAATCGCTCACATCTTGAATTTCCTTCGACGCCATTTGCAAACCTCGTGCAAGAAAGGCGCGAAGAAGCAGTAATGGAAGATAAAATCGAACATAATTGAATGTCAAGCAGGCATGATGAGATATAGTGATTGAACAACAAGAAGACATAATTGAAAGACAAACGAACATAATTGAATGACAAGAAGACAATTGAATAACAAACGGAAATAACTGAATGACAAGCAGACATAATTGAATTGCACAGTGAATAGTATTTTTGATATGAAAACTGCTTCATAGTTTCTCAGTATTCCTTTTGCGGGCGAAAATGACAATTCAGAATTAAACGCAAACTGAATAGTAGCATGCACCTCTGTTTTGCAGACGTAAACGAGTGTGTAACAGGAAAACACAACTGTAACAGCAGCTCCCTATGCTATAACACCAAAGGATCCTTCGGATGTTTCTGCCCGCCAGGATATTTCGGCGTTAATTGCACAGGTAAATAATATATAGATTTAGCCAGGGCTAAAAGCGAAGCTCCCATTAATAAATTTATATTTTAAATCAAACAATGAACTTGTAATCCACAAATCAGCTAACTTAAGGGCTCATTCATGTGACTTTTGAGGGAAAGGATAAGTTATTTTAGAGTGAAACATCTTACATCGAGTTGATAGCCTAAATATATGTACACCCAAAAAATGGCAAACATCTTCTATCACATTCAAGAGCCATAATGGCTCTTGATCACGGTAGATTAGGCCTCGAAAACAAATTCTTGGAAAACAAATCAGGCCGCATTTTTTTTGCGTTCGACAGGTTTACTTTACAAATCCTTGTCAACAAATCTGAGGGTGTGTAAACCAACCTTTTATACTTTTTATACATCACATCTGAGGTGAAACAGTACTTTTTATCATACAGACCTCGGACAGAATACGGCATTTCACAATTTTTCAATGTCCAGGACGATCAATCGTGGGCTTTTAGCGAAACCGTTCAAAAAATTGCCAAAATCACCCATACGTCCAGCCGGTTCTCATTTTTAGTGCGAGCTGTCAGTGTGGTCGAGTGTTTGAATGAACTTTAATGGAGATACGTCTCAACATAATAACGAATTTGTTATCATTACTTTTTGTTATTTAATGGTTCCAGCTATAACGATGTGTAATCTTATAAAGCGTTTGATACGTGGGACATTTCTATGTACTCCTGCAAGCGATGTTCATGAACGATGAAAACAAACACCACGGACAAGCGATTAAAATTGCAAGGGAGACTACTAACAATCAATAAAAGAAATATAATTCGGTAAAACATTTACAGAGACAACAATTTTCATTCACGAAGACAAGTATTAAAGTGTCTCTAAAAATCCTGAGTCTTTAAGCTTTAATAAAGCTAAAGCTTAAGTTTATTTTGTTTTACTTTCAGTCGGCCTCCCGGTGTTTTTTTTTTTTTTCAAAGATGAACTCCTCGAAGCAAGAAAATCACTCAAAGTTTTCTTTCTACAGCCAAATTTATAACTAAATATTCTTCGGAACGTTTGTTTTCTATTTGCCGTGAAAAAAAAAATCTGAAGGCCTTTTAAAGTCCTGTAAGCTTATATCAAACCTTATACTAGATCAGATCATTGACTCAAATCTTAACAAATGTGCAAAAACTTGCCGCATAAACTGTGCTCGACTTCGTGAAATTAGATATAACAAAAACAAACATCAAATACAATAATTACTCAGGCTTACCATTCGAGATTCAGTTCCTGAAAGATATCAAGGAAGGCCATAGTTGCTTGAGACTTTTAAACCCTCTTACGCATTGAGCAAGGTGAAAGACGAAAACGATGCAGTCCGAAATCGGATTACCCAATTTTAACAAGCGACGCATTTCTCAACCAAAAACCCAATAAACAAACCAGCCATGGATAACAGAAGACTCTTGATAGCAGCTGTATTTCATTTTGTACATCCAGTTGAAAAAGACAGTTAAAAACATCACAAGTTGACACAAAACTTTGTCAAAGTAAACAACTTTCAAGATGCTGCATAAATTTTCCGCATGAACTCACCTGTCAAATTTTGACCAATCAGAGTACAAAAATTGGACGTAGAGCGTGACCAACGCGTGACCATGGTAAGAAAAGGTCTTCCCCGCCTTTATTTTTAAAAAACTGGCTGAATTTTCGCGTCCGAGGTCAGTTTGAAATCAAAATCTTGACAGTGCGGGGCCATAGTGACATGAACACAACATATTTCATATGAATCATTGGAAAAAATAGACTTGAGCCTGCGATCATTTTAAACTGGTAATTTGTCAGCGGATAACTTCAAAAAAGTACTCGACCTCGATGGGTCGACACTTGAGCCCGCGGTACGGTCAGGTGACACTGGTCAGCGGATATCCTGTTTTGACAGCTGTCAATTGATCACAACATTGATGTGCAATTAGTTTTCTCTTGGGCTCCCAAACTAGCTAGAAAGTGTGAGAGAAAACATTGGTTTCCCTGTGGTGCGGACGGACGGTCGGGCGTACGGTCACGTGATTACCAAATTTTCTCGGATGGGTAGATTACCACATTTCCTTAGCTATGGAGCTCCGTCCACACGCGCGCGCTTCGCGCGCGGGTGGAGCTCCGCTATAATGTACATTGAAATTGTAGATAATCTCTGATAAAAAACGCCGCTGTGTGATCGGATCTATCAAATGGTAAAAGCATTGTCATTATCGTCATCATTGATATCGCGGTCATTTCCCCTTTTTCGCTGATAGCTATTTTAAAGGAAAAAAAATCAAACGCGAAAGGTTTGTGGAATTTCTAATGTTTCAATTTGATAGAAGCACATGAAATTTTGACACGATCTTTAAGGTCAAGTAATACGGGCAACATTTTCGCTTAACTTGTTGGGCAACATTGTTACATTCCAAGTTGAGAAGCGTTGTTGACCGTCGAGTTTAAGAGTGCAAATTAACGGTACCATCTTTGAAATTAAACTGCCTGGTATTCTGGGCCATGGCTGTTTGTACGTTTGATTTTGTGTTTAAATTAGCATCATTTCAGTAGCTTTTAATGTTGGTCTCATTTCGGTGGCTGAACACCGACAAAATATGTCTTTAAACTTAGAGGTTGCAGTACAATGGGTTCACGTGAATTCTGTATGTAAAAAAGCACCTCATGTATCCCACCCCCCCTGTCCCCACCCCCCCTCCCCCAATGGACAATGGAGCTTTGCGTCTCTGGGTAAAGGGAAGTCTTTATTTTACTGTCCTCTTATTTTTAGCGCTGGATTCAAATATATTGAAAACAAATTCATCTTATTTGTACCATCTGGGAACATTTCTGGAGCCTGCAGTTGGGTACAATTCTCACTGGCTACTGTGCTGGCGGGCTACATTGCACGGCTGGGATGTCGATACACAGTTTCACAGACGCTGCGATGGAAAAAGAGACACAGTTACCATTATAAAAAAGGGTAAATACGTTTTTGGAGGTTACACGGACATTCTTTGGGGTAAGAATATTGCTTGCTCAGTTTAAAACCAAATAGCAATAAAACGTAAAGTTGAGCCAGACCAGACTTCTTAACTATTTTTTACTGCTGTAAGAACTAGGGAGGCTGGCTCTTACGTATTAATGATTCTGTAAAATTGCGTATATGTTGAATATCTATCCTCCCGGTTCCTGGCGAGAAAATACATGGACCATAGTATTGACTCAATACTATGTCTTCTACACAGGCCACCAAACTGTGACACCCACGGGCATTTTTGTCCGATTTTTGGTAACATAGCTATTCTTACCAACTCGAGTACGCTGATTTCGAAAATTACTGTTACCAAGCTCAAGCTTGTGTTAAGGTGGAGTTTTAGGGCATTTCATTATGACTTCACTGTGCAAATAAGGAGTTTTCTTTCCTTTCCCAATTCTAAATTAAATAGATCTAGAAATGGTTTCAAAGGGCTCTGAGTATATTTCAAAGACCATTTAGCGAATTTATAAAACGCTGTTTCTGCGAATTTCGAGGCGTCACATGACACACCCTTTAATATAAAATTCACACAATTATGGCTAGAGATGTGGTATTTATCGTGACAATTTTTTAAGATAATTAAAAAGTATATTAAAATAAGCCATTCTTTGATTGCTCGAGCTCTTGGCAATTATTGCAAAACCTTCACATTCCTGCAATTTTCCTCTCACTAAATAAGTTACAAGACCAAGGCAACTTCGAAATTCGGGTAAGTTCAAATAGTTCCAGTGACGTCACTACTCCTTTGCCTTAATTCATGCAAAGTAAAACACGATTTTCAACTGGCAAACAAAGAAATATCGCCTGGAAATGTCTACATGATACAGAAGTGCTTTACTCTTTTTGATCGTACTTCATGTTTAACTGTCATCTGCCTGCAGTACTCTGAACGAATCTGTTGTACGTTTATTTCAATACTCAAACTCGATCGCAATGTTTTTAAAATACACACACGGAACAACAAGAACACAACGATTTGCTTAAACTGGAAAGAAGCTATTTCGTCCTTAACGAAGGAGAAGAAAAAAAAAACAAGAAAAAAAGTTAAACAGAATCATTACACTTAACGGTGGAAATGACAAGACTTAAATCCCAGAAATTTTCGCTTTCGAATTTTTTTAACTCCACGCAAACATGCCAGGCATCCGACCCGGCAATCCCGCTAAAATTTCTCATAATTATACGTAATTCTGCGAATGTTTGGACAAGAATCAACCAATCAAACACTACCCGGTTTTAAGGTAGTGACGTCACACTGGACGGGATTAGTGGCCGGTCGATTCAGACGTTGCTAAAAGAGTAAAAAAGGATTCGAAGTAATCGTCTGAAATTCAGGTTAATCTGGATAATGCAATAAAATTTCGCCTTGCTGAGGTCAGCGATCTCATTGCTGCAAAAGGGCCGGAAAGGTATCGTAAGAAGTGTCTGAGCGCTTAGTACCAGACTGGCAAAAAGAAAGAGGAATCTCAACAGGCAGTTATCGTTATGATTTTATCCGCTTTGAGCACGGCCACTATACTGCAGAGCGTAACCAAATACTCCAGCTATCTGACGTATGGCCGGGATATAATAAGCTAGCCCATAAAACCAATACAAAAATACCGCAGTCATCTATCAACAGGAAAGCATCATGAGAAAAGTTGGAGACTTGTTCGAATTCTTAAGCACTGATACGGGGGATTACATCACGGTGAGTTATGATGTACGCTCCTAGTTACTCAACGCTGTTAGTAGATCTACTGCACAAGGAGGGCCATATACAGCTACGACAGGCAAATTCTCAAGTTTGACCCCTCACTAGCGCAAGATACAGTCTGTTCTTGAAATAGATAAACGGCACCGTTGTCCTAACTGATCTAAACCCGGACAACTTCATGCAGTTCACTGCTAATAACATTGACATCAGCCATTCGTTACTAGGTGGAAGGACACTTTCCACGCAACACAGGTACCTGGTTGACAAAGAGGCCCAAATAAAA